CCCCCCAAGTTATGAATGCCAATGCTCTCAATGGCAGCCGGGAAATAGGGGGAGAAGAAAGAAGTATGGGAGGGGCAGGGGTGGGGAGGGGAGGGGCCCCCGGGTGATTCACACGGACACCAAGGCGTCGGCTGCGAGCTGGTTTTCTATTAGCCGTGATTATGGTCTGGCCGAGCATGTAAGTGGCTGTAAACTACGGGTGAGTGCATGATGGGGTGATAAATAACAGGGGTGCCTGGGAGAGGCTGGGGGTGGCAGGTACAAAGAGGGACTCGATAGCGCCCCCATGTGAGTGACTGCTCAGCCTGACTGCTGTGGCTCTTTTCCACACCCTTTGTCCTTTACATATCCACGCAGTCTTGCCCCTCGCCAAAACTGATGGTATGCTCAGTGCAACGCCCATGCTGCCCCGTAGGGGGCGTGCCAGGCGCTCAGATACCGGGAGTCCAGGCAGACAGACCACCCCTCCCAGCCCCTCATCCTGTAAACACATTTATACATTTAGGCTGTCCCACCAATCCCCGGGCAGATCTTCCAGAGGAAGCGTCCCAGGGATGGGGTCTGCTCTCCTTAGCATGACAGATGGGCCTGGGGTCGCGCCCGCTCATACCAGCACAGCCCATCTCCATCTCCACCTCCCGGCCCCACACCATACGGCGTTAGATCATCCAGTGAGCTAAACCTTCAGGGAGGCTCACTGAATCCAATGGCAGACCATCTACACCAGCGCCATGTACCGCACAGGTGCTATCGGACGCCTAGGATACAGCCATCAACGCCACCGCTATGTACCGCACAGCAAAAAACATAAGCCAAAACTATATTTGGAATACCTACTAAAGAATAAATATTAAATAAATGAGAAGGTGAAATGTAAATTTCCTTACAGGTGAATGTGTCGCCGTTTCGCATTAGTGACACAAACCCTGTGTAACTCAGACAGTTCGGATTTACAGAAATCTGAGTGTCCATGGCTCCGGGGAGCAGTGCCAGCGGGGGGGCAGGGCGGACGTGAATCTCTGGGAAGGATGTGGCAATGGCAAGTTCGTTTACGGCGTGAGGCGGCCCACCTTCTTCACTGCATTGGCGTGTTCGTCCAAGCGGCCTGCGTGTCGCCGCAGATCGGTGTGGGGGCGGCGCCCGCTTGCTTGCCGTAGAGGGCAGAGTTTGAGCCACAGATGGACAAGTGGGGTCGTGCGTGGCAACACCACCGTACCCTTGACCCCCTGTCCCCACAAGAACTTTCTGGAAATGATGGGATCTGACTGCTCATGGTGGGAACTGGGAACCGAACCAAACTAGCCAGCGGGGCCTGAAACGAGTGGCGGGGGTGGGGATGGGGGAGTCACGCTGGTGGGGGCTGGGGGTTGTCCGTCACACCCCAGTGCTCTGACAGGGCCCTCATCAGGACAATGTGGCACGCATGTTAATCACCCCCGAACTCCACAGCACACCAGGGGTGATTCATATGGGGGGGAGGGGGGGGGGGAGAATAATACCAGAGCCTGTAGATTTTAATCAGCAATGAGCAAGAAAAACAGCAAAACAACAAGGGACGAGAGTAACCCCAACCCCTTTAAAGTCTGCAAACACAAACCGGAATCCACCGTGCAATTACTTTCATACTCTGGTGAAATACGATATATACACCTCCTTAATGGTTAGACAGTACTGGGTCACTGTAAGAAAGGGACAGTAGACAAGGGACACCCAGACAGTCAGCTGCAGTACACAAACATAAACACAATAACACACTGTGGGAAATTAACACATGTCAGTCAGCCTAAGCACATGCTTTACAGGAGGATGCTGGACCGCCAACAGCAACCCGCACAAACATGGGGAGAACATGCA